CTCTGGACCCTCTCCAATTTCGCCACATCTTTCTTGAAATGCGGTGCCCAGAACTGGACACAATACTCCAACTGAGGCCTGATCAGCGCAGAATAGAGCGGAAGAATGACTTCTCATGTCTTGCTCACAACACACCTGTTAATGCTTCCCAGAATCATGTTTGCTTTTTTTGCAACAGCATCACACTGCTGACTCATATTCAGCTTGTGGTCCACTATACCCACTAGATCCCTTTCTGCTGTACTCCTTCCTAGACCGTTGCTTCCCATTCTGTATGTGAGAAACTGCTTGTTCCTTCCTAAGTGGAGCACTTTACATTTGTCTTTATTAAACTTCATCCTGTTTACCTCAGACCATTTCTCCAATTTGTCCAGATCATTTTGAATTATGACCCTATCCTCCAGAGCAGTCGCAACCCCTCCCAGCTTGGTATGATCTGCAAACTTAATAAGCGTACTTTCTATACCAATATCTAAATCGTTGATGAAGATATTGAATAGCGCCAGTCTCAAAACAGACCCCTGAGGAACCCCATTTGTTATGCCTTTCCAGCAGGATTGAGAACCATTAATAACTACTCTCTGAGTATGGTTATCCAGCCAGTTATGCACCCATCTTATAGTAGCCCCATCTAAGTCATATTTGCCTAGTTTATTGATAAGAATATCATACGAGACCGTATTAAACGCCTTACTAACGCCTAGGTATACCACATCCACTGCTTCTCCCTTCTCCACAAGACTCGTTATCCTATCAAAGAAAGCTATCAGATTGGTTTGACATGATTTGTTCTTTACAAAACCATTCTGGCTGTTTCCTATCGCCTTGCCACCTTCCAAGTGTTTACAGATGATTTCCTTAATTACTTGCTCTGTTACATGCTGAGGGGTAATGCAAAGCTATGCCAGTCCAGGAGCAGCAGCCAGCTGATGGGGGTTGCTGGGTAGGCATAATTGAGTTATGTCTACCCTGCACCTAATGAGCTCTCCAGGCCCTATACTGTACCTGTAGCACACAAATTGGCCATGGAGCTAGCCCACACAGCAGAATACAATGGACCTTCCAACCCCTTACTCCCTTGTACATAGGGCAAGTAACAATCCATCACTGGGGGGGGGGGTCACTTCTCCTTTGTCTACACTAGGGAGTTATTTCAAAACAACAAGTGGTGCATCCACACTACCAAGCCCATAATGGGCTGGTTACATTGAAATAACTCCTGCTTTCCATGAGAAATAATGCTAATTTCAAAATGTTTATTTCGAAATAGCGGTAGTATGGATGCTCTGGTTCCGCTATTTCAAAGTAGCTACTCAGAGTAATTCACACTAATTACTCTCCAGTACTTCCTGGGGCACTAAGTTGAGGTAGCATGTCCATATTAACAGAGCCTGCCTCAGACTAATTTCTAGGCTTCCCCATAGCCTGGCCGCACTATTTTGAAATTATTGTTTTGGGAGTTATTTTTTCAAAATAAGTTGTTTTGAAATAGTTTCCTAGTGTAGACATGCTCTTAATGGCTACATCCTCAGATTATTTTACTCCTGTTCTGCTCCCTGCTGCTGCTTTTTATCATTTATGCAGTGCCACAACAAAACAGGATGAAGAAATAGAGCTGGCTGTAGTGGTGTTTACAAAACAGAGACGCATTGTTCTCCTTTGTGCTTTCCTCCTTCCTCCTCCCTACTGTTCTTGCTTTGTCTGAAATTTTAATCCCTTTTCCCATGGAAATACTGACCCTGATGCATTAATGTCCTTTTTTAAAAAAAGGGAATTAATCAGCTTAGCGTGAGACTGGATTACATTTTAATTTTAATAGTGCTAAGATCTTTAGATACATTTTCAGTCTCTTAATTTTAGCAGGTCGGCATCTTTTTTCAGTCAGACTGTCATCTTTTTAGTATGGCAGGGTTCTTATGCACTAGGCCTAGTAGTTGTCTCGTATATATAGCCATATTGTCCAGAGAGCTGGTTTATCTTTCCATTCATAATTAAGATGGAGATTTAGTCAAAGACACAAAGAGATATTAGGCATCCACTTAGGAACTGGGTGCCTTGCTGCCATTTGTGCCTTTGAATAACTGCCCATAAATACAGAGTAACTGTTAGAATTTTCTTCAGCTGTGGATTGCAGCGCCCCTACATTTTGTATGGCTTATATATACATGGGAGACTTGAATGCTTATAATCAGAAGATGCCCTTTTACTTGAATGTCTTCAACAATTAAAGATTATTTTATATTTAAATCCAATTACAAATGCAGCACAGTTTTTTGGGGGGGGGGGGCAATTCTGAAAGATAGGCATTAACTCTTATTTAGGAGTACTTCCAGGTAACTGGAAAATAATTTTAAAAGTTCACAAAATAACTCACAAAACAGAATGAACTGATTAATTCAGTGTCTCCCAATCCCTTGTGATTTTATTACCAAGCTTGAATTTAGGAATTAACTGATCATACCAGTTAACGTAGTCATTCCAATTGTCCATCTAGGCTGGTATCGGTCTTCCACACTAAGCAATACTATTAGGCACAGGAACTAGGGGTGCAGGAGGTGCAGTAGCACCTCCCTCCCCCAGGTTTTAGCTAGGACTCCATTCCTGGTGCCAGGCCTGCAGAAAGAGATAAGGGAGCTAGCTTTCAACACCCCCACTAGTAAAAGTGTTCCCATGCCACTGATCAATACTAGGTGCCGCAGAATAAAGTGAGAGAAAACCGATGGACAATTCTGGAATAAGCTGCCCATGGAGAATATTTCTTAACCATTAGGCAGTACAGTAAAAGCTTTCCATCAATCTGACAGTGTCTATATGGGTTTTTTTAGTCTAATATTTGGTAATTTATCTATACAGCATAAAAACAACTTAAAATATGTACATTTATCCAACATACATACATGTCCCAGATTTGGTTAAAGAGAAGATAAAGATTTGATACTGTATGGGCAGGATCCCCCCCCCTTTTTGGGGGGGCATTTGGACCAAAAGTTTCAGAAATGAATGCCTGAAGTCAGTGAGACTCACGCAGTTAAATCTCTTCAGTACTTTTGAAAATCTCACCCAGAAGTAGGCATTTAAAGAGCTGGTCTAATTGTAAAAGGCCTCATAGGCAGTAGGTGTACACCATTCTTAAAAATCAGACTTTTAATTTAGGTGTATAACTAGGGATGTGAGTAAGCTCATTTCCAAAGCTATTGGCCATAGGTTCGTGCAGATATAGGGTTAAATAACACTATCTTCTCTCTGGTCAATGACATCTCCTTTTACCCAAAAGAAACTGATGGTCAAATAAGTGTATTATTAATTTCACCTCTCCTTCTAGGATTTGCTCTTTCACTCTGTCCTGTTCATTTCCTCCTTGTTAGCCAGCAAATACAACACAGTAATTACAAATGTGTGTGAATCACTGAGGGCTTGTTCATTAGTTACATCTATTGTTTAAAATAATTTTAAAATCTCAAACAAGAACATGGCAGTGTTCAGATTAACTTTCCCTAATGGTAACATTCTCTCCTTCACAATTGTCTGCACTGCATAGTTGCAGGAGCTAAAAACAAATGTACATGTGTCACATTAGGCATATATCTCCAGCATTACACATGTATGAACATAAGTTAATCGTGGCCTCCCAAAGGAAGTTTACTAGGTAGCATAAGTAAGAGAGAATATCAGTGCAGAGGAATGTAGCATCTGAATAATCTCCTACACCCAGATAAGTTCTGAAGTGACAATGAGACATTTAATAAAAATAAATAGCAAAGTAAAATCAAGATTTTTTTTTTAAACAAAAGGCGACATTATCCAGTAACAGAATTCACATAAGTATCTTGAGCTAAATTTATACCTGGTGTGACTCCACTAAAATCAATGGCATTACACCAATAATAAATGTGGCCCACTATCTCTGTACTCCTAAATAGCTCAGGAAGATACAATCATTTTATCTAATGAAAATTGATGTTCAATTTGCCATTATTGATTCATTGCACTCTGATTGAGAAAAGCTCTGCAGTGTGAATTAATAAAAATACCTCACACTTTCAAAGGGCCTCCCAGCTACATATGTTATGAAGAGTCACAAATATTAATGAATTAAACATTTCATTTTCCCTTCCTTCCACACTCCTTCCCCCACACCCATGAGGTAAGTGGTATTATTCCCCATTTGACTGATGAGTAAACAGAGGCACAGAGAGACTAAATGAAGGTCTCATAGTTTCACAAGAATTCTGTGGCTTTGTTTGGAATAGAATCCAGGTCCCTTGCTTCCCCTTTC